TGTTAAAATTAAAAAAAAAAAAAACAAACCTTTTTGTATTCCATTTTTAAACCAGGATGTAGATTCTGCAGTCCAGAAATATATATATATATAAACCTAACCTTGTCCACAGTTTTTAGTGTTGTATGCCTAAATACCAATTTAGGCACCTTGCTGTAGGCATGCAGTTTTCAAAAATTCAGCTCTTGTCAATAATGTAAAAGCCTGTGGATTCTCTTCCTTCCACAAATTGGTATGTAGTATATTTAGAATTAACAGGGCCTGTTTTCTCTTTTGACTCGAGTATGTGGTGTAAGGTTAATGAAAATAAGATGGATGTTTTATTTTGGGTCTTACATATAATATTATTAAATGTGCCCACCAGAAATGTAGGATAAAATATTTGCTCTGCTTGAAGATTATGTGATATTTGTATTCTAAGCCTCACCACAGTGGGTTTCTTTAAATAGAAGCTATATTTTACTCCTAAATTGCTTAAGGCAAAGGAAGCAGAGATGATGTTTTTATGAATGTTTAAATGCAAATGGAACTGAGAGTGAATGCTATGCTAGCTAACATCAAAGGCTCACCAAAGTCTCTGCATTAATGAGGCTCTTTGTTTCCTGGATCACAGATTACAACAGGTTTCCAACTCATTGCCAAGGCTTTATCTCCATTTGGGAGGGCTGTAAATCTCAGACGATTTTTTTCACATGCAAAACAAGAGGATCATCTGAAAGAAGAAGGAAAAAAAATCTTAAAGTAGCAAATATTTCATTCAAATGATTATTCCTCAAAGTGGCTGCATCTTGTTTTATTTTTGGGATGTTTAAAAGAATGGAAATTTGCCAACGGAGTTTCCTATGGGGCAGCTCATTCATTTGGAGGAGAAAACGAAGCTGGAAAAAAGCAAACAGCATCCTTCCCATCTCCTTCAGCCCGGCATCAACTGTGCCCCAAAATCAGAACAATAATTCTATGTCATGCAAAATCAGCAATTAGAGAAAGACAGATTTTGCTCCATTTAAATATATTCAAGTACTTTTCAAAGTGGCTCCAACTAGTTCTTCTCCTCCCCAAAAAGTAATGAGATTATATCCCTAGTAATAATACCCTAATTAACAAGAAAAATAGGGACCAAGATTTTTAGCTTCCTATTCAAGGGCTGAATGTGACAATATGTTGTATATTGGGTCATAAAAAACAATTTACATGGCGTCATTACAGTCTGTAGCAAAGTCTCCAGGACCCAGGGCTATCTTGTGCAATCTTAATTAAGGAAAATAAATATCGGTGTGTTGTTTTAAGCTACTGGAGACATGCACAGGACCTGTCGTATGTGATCAGAAGAAATGGGGAGTTTCCTTTTCCATGGGAACTGCTTAAAAAACCCTCCGACGCCGACACACAAGTGTCTAGTGCCTTCGAAATGGGCTGCGAAGATGGTAATTTCTTGTTTCCTGACCCTGGGGGCCAGGCAGGAATACTAATAATTTTCTGCCACCCCACGTCACGTCTGTGCTCCGAAGGGGCCGAGGGCGCGGTGGCGGAGCGCCGCCCGTGCCCGGGTGGCACCGCGGGTGGCCGGGGGCACCCACGTGTGGCACGGCTGTGTCTGCACCCACAGCCGGGGATGGGCAGCTGCTGTGGGCCTGTGTGTGCGTGTGCGGGGGTACACGCGTGTGCTGTGTGTGCCTGTGCTCAGACACACGTGCCCTGATGTGTCTCGGTGTGGGTGTGGGTGTGCACGTCTGTCTGCGCACACACACCAGTCCCGGCGTTGCAGTGTGTGTTTGTACACGCACCCCGACGAGTTTCAGCGCACACATGTGTGCTGAGGTGTGTCTGTGTGCGCACATACACATGTCCTGATGTCTCAGTGTGTACACACGTGTCTGCTCGTGCGTGTCTCTCTGTGCACACACACATGTCCTGATGCCTCAGTGTGTACACACGTGTCTGCTTGTGCATGTCTCTCTGTGCACACACACCCTGATGTCTCAGTGTGTACACACATGTCTGCTCATGCGTGTCTCTGTGCACACACACGTCCTGATGCCTCAGTGTGTACACACGTGTCTGCTTGTGCGTGTCTCTCTGTGCACACATACACATCCTGATGCCTCAGTGTGTACACACGTGTCTGCTTGTGCATGTCTCTCTGTGCACACACACCCTGATGTCTCAGTGTGTACACACGTGTCTGCTCGTGCGTGTCTCTCTGTGCGCACACACACATCCTGATGTCTCAGTGTGTCCACGCACACGTGTTAGTGTGTTCTCATGTGAGCTGATGTGTCTGAGTGCACACATGTGCACTGATGTGTGCCAGCAGTACCATGTCTGGCCTTCTGTCCTCTATGTTTAGTTGTGTGCTGCTGACCTGTGCTTGTAGATTCATGGGTGCATGTGAGCATGCAGGTGTGTTTGTGTGTGTGTGGGCGCCTGTGCCTGCCAGATGTGTAGCTGTGTGTGCTGATGTGTGCAGTTACGTGTTCTTTTGTGCTGATGTACCTGGCGTGTGGGGCTGTGTATGGATCCCACTGCCGTGTGCTGTTGTGTGAGTGCTCGTGTGTGGCAGATGTGCCAGATGTGCAGCTGTGCGCGTACTCAGGTGTGTGTGTAGCTGTACGCACACCCCTGCAGAGTCGTGTGCGGGGCCGTGCAGACCCCAACACGTGCTGATGTGTGTGTACATCTCATGTGTGTGAGATGTGTGCCTGCAGCTGTGTGTGTGAGGACGCACCGATGTGTGCGGGTGTGTGCCCAGCTGTGGGCATGCAGGAGTGGCTGCAGGCGAGCTTGTGCCACGCTGCGTGTGCAGGAACGTGGATGGGCACGGATGTGCGTGGGCCGTGTGCGTGTGCGCTCAGATGTGCGTGCAGGCACGTCCGTGTGTACAGGCATGTGCGCACACAGGTAGGCACAGGTGTGTGCGCAGATGTGCGAGCACAGATGCGTGTGCATACCCGTGTGTGTCACAGATGTGCACACACACCCGGGGCTGCACCGAGCGCTCGATGCTGCCCATCCGCACCCCCACAGCCGGGCAGGGAGGGGGTCACCCCGCCGTGGCGCGGTCGTGGGGACGGGCTGGCCGTGCCTTTACTGCAGGGACTTGGTGTCGGTGTGCGCGTCCGTGTGTGCCCCTGCGTGCTCGTGGGCGTGTGCGCGCCTCTGCCGGTGCCTGTGTGTGCGTGTGTCCCGCGTGTGCCCGCCCCCGGCCCCGCCCCGGCGCTGCCAATCACCCGCGGCCGCTTTGATGTCGCAGCGCTCGCCCGCCGCGCCGCCGCGCTCGCAGTCGGACCGGGCGCTCCGTGCTCCGCCAGCCGCCGGCGCCCGCTGCTCCAGCCAAACTTCCCGGGGCTCGGAGGGCGGGGGGGCGGCGGCGGCACGGGGGGGCCCGTGGAGCCCGGCATCCCGCGACGCCTGCCCGCCCGCAGCCTGCCGAGCCCCCCGCGAGCCGCCGGAGCGGGGAGGGGAGAAGGGGGGGTGGAAAAGAAAAGAGTGACGAGGGAAAAGCAATTCTAATTTTTTTTTTTCTTTTTTTAAAGGAAGGATTTAAGGGGAATTTGGAAAGGGGGAGCAAAATTAAAGGGGAAAAAAAGTTTGAAAGTTAAAAGGAAAGGAGGAAAAAACTTTAAAAAGAAAAATTCAAGAGGGAGCTATTTTTTATTTTTAATTTTTTTTTTTTTTTAAGAGGAGGGAAAAAAATAATTGAGGGAGAGAAAAAAATAATAATTGCGAAGGGCTTGATCCGGGAGAACAATACTCGCCGGGAAAGTTGCTGCGCGGCGGGGAGGGAGCGGCGGGAGGAAAATGCCGCAGCTGGGCAGCGGCGGCGGGGACGACCTGGGCGCCACGGACGAGATGCTGGCCTTCAAGGACGAGGGCGAGCAGGAGGAGAAGATCCCCGAGAACGCCTTCACCGAGCGCGACCTGGCCGACCTCAAGTCCTCGCTGGTGAACGAGTCCGAAGGCAGCGGCAGCCCGGCCGCCGCCGCCGCCGATGCCGAGGTGAGCCGGACCGGCCCCGCTCGGCGCCCCCCGCCCCGCCGCGGCCCCCGCCCCACGCCCCCGCGCTGCCCCTCTCTCTCCTCCCCGTGCAGGCCCTCCGGCGAGTGCAGGATCCGCAGAGGGTGTACCAGGAGAAGCTCCCGGACCACATGGATGATGGTTAGTCACAGCAACCTCCGCGTGTTTCCGTGTGTCCCCCTCTCCTCGTTCCCGGTTCCTGCTGGTCCTCCCCAGTGTAACCCCCCCCGGTTCCCCAGCCCATCGCCCTGACACCCCTGGGAGTGAGGGATGCTAGCCTGGTCACCACAGCCCCCAGCGGGAAAGCTACTCCTGACAGCACCGAGGTTTCCCAGCGTCCCCACACTGTGGGAGTCTGCACCCATGGGGGACCCTGGCACTCCCCAGCATCTTCTCTGAGGAGTATGGGACAAAAAGATTCCCACAAGATGCTGTAACCTCTTCGGGACCCCGACAGGCAGAGGAGTCACCTGTCATAAGACAAGTTTTGACAGGGAACATTGATTTCAGCAGGTATGAAACATCAGGACCCAGGGATGTATAAAGGATCTGCCTATTCTGGTTACCCTTTCCTGATGCTCTCAGATCCGTATCTGCCCAATGGATCTATGTCACCTCTGGTGAGTTCCTCCTCTCCTTATGGAGAAGTTTCGTGGCCTCTTTCACTGCTGAAGTATGTTGCAGGTATTGTGCAGGCACCTACACATGTTTTTTCCTGACAAATTCGAGCCCAGTTTCTGAAATAGCTGGACATTTCTGTCCAAGCCAAAAGGAAAAGCAGTGGGAAGGGAGAGGAGATGCTTGTCAGGAAGCGCCTGCTTCGCTCTGAGTTTGCTGGAGGAGCTGCTTTTCCAGTCTCCTCATCCTCTAGGTTTGGCTTTACTCTTCCAGGAGTCAAATCCTTATATCTCATGGAAAAGTGTCCCTTCATTTTTTTGGGTCATTGGCTTTGGAGGGAGCAGCTCCTGGTCTTTGTGTTTGTGTTCAGGGATATGTCCCACAGCTGAGCTTGTGTGTTAGGGCTCTGTTGTGCATGGTGGCCCAGAAAATGGATCTTAGGCTTCTAAAATGGCACTAGAGGTTTTTAGGAAAAGGTTTTGTGCTGCTGGAGGACTGTTCCCATCTTTCTCCTGGAAAGTTTTTCCCTCTCAGTTTAAATCAGCTTTAGTAATTCTGTATGTTCTCATATTTCTAAGTTTTGCTGTCTGAATGATTAAACTAAAGTCTTCTTTACAAAAGCTGGTTTTTTCCATCACCATCTAGATCAGAACTTCAGAAAATAATGCCCTGACACTGCAGCAGACAGTCGATGCTGGTGTCGCTCCTGGGAGCCAGCACTGCTGCGTTTGTTTCAGACATTGTTCCGCAGTAGCCATCAGCAAGTGAGGACAGAATGTAATTTGGTTTATTTCAGGTTTTAACCTTTAAAGGGATGAAGTTTAAAAGAATATGTAAACCTGTCCTTAGTTCCAGTTATTTGTTCACAAGAGGGGTAGGATGTCAAATTGACGTTATGAAAACTGGACGGATTGTGGAGTATGAAACTTAGAATTATTTGTGGAAATCAGTGCTGTGCCCTCACACCTGACCCAGCTGGCCTGGGTAGCAGGAGACAGGTCCCTGCCTGTACCCCCACATCTTTTCCTAGGAGATTTAGTTTTCCTGGCTGCAGACTGATGGAACTTCGCTGAAGTTTGCAGATATCAAGGATCAATCCCTAAATTTTTATGTCTTCCTTCAGTTTGCATCAAGAACAGATTTGTTTGCAGGGCAGGGCACACTTATGTTGTTGTAATCCAAAGAAGCATTTCTTCTGATGCTTCCCACCTTATCCAGGTACCATGTATCCCCCTCATTCACCAAAATATTAAGCTGCTCTCTTCCTGATAAACTTTAAATGTTTTTAAATTCCTGTTATGTAAACACACTTAACTTGCTCCCTGAGATAGAATTTGGGTAAATCCAGAGTGATATTTGTCCAGCATCTTTTTGCTATGGTGGAGTATTTATTTTAATCTTAAACTCTTCTAGATGGGCAGCAAAGTGCAATAGCCTATTTATCAGCAGCTAGGCTATAAAGTGGATTGTGGTTTTGGAATCACCTTTTCCCTTGATAACAGAATAAAATCCAAGCAGTTGCTGTCAGAGCAGCAGACAGGAGCAAATGGACTGTGCAGAACTCAAAGGGGAGAAGATACAAGCAGCAGAGAAGGAAAGATCCCATCCCCTTGAGAGCCATCAAAATCATCCAGTACCTCAAACTGCTTCCTTTAGGCCTGTTTGAATTCTGCTGTGGTTTATGAAGAGCTGATTTAATGTTTTTAGTTAAAAACCTGGCAGACAGGGGAAGATTTCTTCCTCATGGAGGCTGGACTTGCGTTTTTTTTTCAACTTACTACAATAACTATTTCAATATATTATTCTGGGCGATTTTGTCTTACATTTCTATTGACTGTGCAAGGATTATAATGATAAATTATGGATTACTCTCATATAGATTTATTGCTGCTGTGTACATTATATAAAGTGTGGGCTATAATCTGGTGGTTGCTTCCAATAATCGAGGAGGTCAGATCTGTGACCGAAGATTGCAGATAGTTAACCATCCATAAAAGTGTGTTTAATTAACACTTTAGCACAAGTAGAGTCAGGGAGGAGAGCTGTGTGAGTGAATAGGATTACGTATCACAGTCATGCGTGCACTTGATAGTGGAGATTGTATTTTGGTTAATGAGGCTTCCTGGAAACAGTTGTTTGCAAGTAGGATTAATTTTAGAATCTTAAAAAAAAAATCAATTAAAAAATTAAATCAGGAGTGCTTTGGCAAACTGTCAGGGCTTTACATTGAAAACAGTAATTTACCTGATTGAAAACAAAGTATAACTCCCTGAAAGATTCAGAGCAGCCGGCATCGAGGCTGGGGCTGAGCCCCTGCTCTGCAACGCTTTGTAAAACCACATTTTTTTCAGTGGGCTCCCCATGAACCCTGTGAGGGAGCTGCAAGTGGCTCTGGACTGGCTCCAGCACCTGCCTGGCTGGGTGTGTTGCTACCAGAAGTATCGGGGTGCTGCTTTCCTATTTTCTTTCTGATTTTGTCAGCAGCACCACTTTTGCTTTGTTTCCCTCAAGGTGTTTGTAGCCACTAACTGTTATGCTGCTCACCCGAGCATCCTGCTCAGGTCCCCACATCTCCCAACCAAAATTGCCTCTTTTTACCAAAACACACCCATCCATGTTATTCATGTGCTCTGCTGCTGCTCCAGAGTGATGCTCTGGAGGTGGCTGGGTCCCTGCCATCAGCAGCCGGGCTGAGCCCAGCTGATGCTCCCTGGAGGGCTGGCAGCAGAGAGGGTGGCAGGAGCTCCCTGCAGCAGGGTGGCCCTCCTTGGCTGAAGGTGGCAAATGCCAGTGTGGGATGATTCAGCTGGAGTGCTGCTGGTTTGGGCAGGCACAGGTTTCCTGGACTGGCAGTGGAGCTGTCGCTGGGGGCGTGGGCAGGGTGAAGGCAGTTCTGGAGCTGAGGACAAGGCAGAGGGCTGAGCCCGGGTGTCCCTTGTTCTGGGAGCTGTGAACCTCATCAGCTGCCAGGCTGGGGAGGGCACACTCAGTCAGGGGTGTTGAAGAACATCTGGCATAGCCTGTGTGTGCATCTGAAATCCTGTCACTCTGCAAGCCCCAGGAGAGCCATCTCTCACCTGGCTCTCAGGTTGTGTGAGTGGTTTTTCAAAGCTCCACTTTATCCCATCTTCTGCAAGGTCCAGCTTTTCCCCGAGTGAAATATATAGGACTTACGGGTTAAAAATCTTTAAGAAACTTCCAAAGAATATGAACAATTTGAGGAACTGTTTTTCTAAATTAAATATAAAATCATAAAACTATATCCTTTTTTAAATAGTACAAATGACTTTAAATCAAATTAAGGTACATCCTTAGTAAGAGAAGCAGCCTTTTAGGTGGTTACAAACATTAGAGGTCAGACATGGTCAAACATGTTAACACTTTGATCAGATTAAAATATTTTTCTTGCTACAGTTGTATAATTGAGTTTAGACCCGAGGGGGTTTTCTGAACATTGTTATATCTTGTACTATGTGGTAGTTAAATGGTAAAAGGAGCTCTTGTTAGTTCCTTTAAGTTCTTTCTGTAAATAGGTTTATAAAATAGGAGAATGAGCCATGCTGCCCTGTATATAGGGCACGAGGTCTCCCTGCTCCCATTGATGGGAGAGATTTGAGAGGAGCTCCTCACACCTTCGGTGTACTGTAGATGTGTTTGGTGAGTGTCTGAGGAGTGTAAAGGCAGAATTAAAATGTTCTGCATGTAAAGCTGAGGCACTGGACTTTCTGTCTGTGTGAGAAACAGAAGTTCAAGAGCCTCTTTTTCTTTGGAAAACAGACACTACCTCATTTTCTTAATTACTAAGTTGTCAAACCAGAGCTTACATGGGAGCAGAAGAATGGGGGTACCTCCCCAAGCGCTGCACAGCTGAAGTCCCCAAAGAAGACAGCAGGACTCACAAATAATGTGGCTTTTCAGAGCCTGGTCCCTGTGGTCCACTGTGCTCCTTGAGCTTGTTCAGAGGGTATGAAATGTCCCCTTGGGCAGGGCAAGATGAAAGTGCAGTTACTGCTGGCCTAGGGCCACAGGGCCCAAATGTCTAACACGAGATCAAAAAAGCATGGAGCTACAGTCTAGGGCTGCTCTTCACTGGACAGAAGCTGAAGCAGCAGCAGCTGAGGTGCAGGACACGGCTGCTTCTGCTGCATCCCCTTCCCCAAGGCTGCTCCATCCCTCTGCAGGAGGAGACTGTGGCCCCCACAGCAGGAAATCTGCAGCTCAGCTGTTTCTCTGCCTCTCTGTCCTGACTTGCACTGTCAGGGCAATAGTTTACGATTGCTTTTTCCTGTGTTGGGTTCTTGTTGAAACCAGTGGGAAAACTCCCCGGAGTCACCGTGCGATGGGGATTTGTCGCTGTGAGAGGGCTGCTGCCTCCCTCTCCAGATGCTGTGTGTGGAGGGAGGAAGGAAGGCAGCTGGGAGCCAGCAGGAGCTCTGTGTGTTCCCAGCAGTGCCTGCTGCTGTGGGAGAGCAGCATCCCAGCCAGGTTCCCTGGCAGCAGGGCTCACACTGCAGGACCTCACCAGGATGGTTCCCTGTCCCCATGAGTTGTTGCATTCCCGGCTCACAGCGTTAGGAGTGAGGTGCTGCTGATGGACCTCCTGGCAGACAGACAGATGAGTAATTTGTTTCCTCCTGACCAAAGCAAATCCACTTCTTTCAGCTCTTCTACCTAGCTTGAAATAAGAGAATATTGAAAATAATGTTTTATGTTAAAGCACAGTTTTGGATAGGTGGATGTACCAAGGCACAGGGCTTACGAGGTCATTTATTGCATGTCTGATTCAGTCTTGGTTTCCCCCAAGGAAAATTCTTGTGTTAATTTCTGAGTGCATATCACACCCTCAATTTTGAAGCAGAACTTCCCTTTGAAATAAATTAGAGCATTCTGCTTAAGAAGCAGCGACATGATACAGCACTGGATGTGTGTGGTCTAATATAACCTTATTTTTTAAATTGTTTGGAATGAAAAAAAGAGAAAGCAAAATGTCATAGGAAAACAA